CTGCTACGTATCTAGAGGTCACTGGTTGGGCATCTTCCCCGCCCGGATGTTAGCTCCTGATGTCCTGATGTGCCACCTGTCCTCAGAGCCTGCTGCTTCTCTTGGGACATGACTCTAGGCAGTGTGCTGTCTGAGTTCCCTGCTCCGAGCAGCTCAGAAGCCACCCACGAGAAGGCACTAGGGTGCTGTGAGTTGGCACGCTCAGCAGCTACTATGGGAGCCGACGCCTGAGGTGCAGGGACCAAGAAGGATTGGCAAAAAGATTGGACAAAAAAGACTTAGCAACTTAACAGGCAATGCTGTCTTGAGACACTGAGTGTGGGGACCGGGACCTACAGCCCAGGATGGCCAAGGACACAACGTCTGTGACACATCGAGAAGGAATGAGCCGTCAGCTGCCCAGTGAATTCCACGTCAGAGGCTCACAGACACGCCCAGGATGATGGCGCCGGGCAGAGGTGATTTTCACAGCACAGGACTCAGAGTCAAAAGCAAATTTAGATCTTTCCCTGGTTCCAGCCTCTCCGCTGTACGAAAACCCCCTCTGTAATAGCTCGTGTTAAATAGTACCTGCTCCGTAGTGCAAAGAACTTTTTAATACACATTGGAAACATAAACTATTTCCTTAAATGATAAGTTTTGGTTATCTGGAAAATTAAGCTTTGTGAAATACTTGACTAACCCGTCAATAACCGATAAATGAGGCTTTAATATATTCTGAACCCATCTCAGAGAGCCTTATCTAATAGGAATAGATTGCGTCTTGGCATTTCTCTGCCACCTTTGAAAGGAGATAAATGATCAGCAGAGTGACTCAGACGGTGACATGCAGACAGGGTGACAAATGAAAGAGATTGGAGGGAACAATGGAAACGAAGCCCAGTGCTGAGTCACTTTGTAATTTAAAGAGAAGAGGGGGAGAGATCACCATCAAGCCGCCCGTTGCACCACAGCAACACCAGAAATTAGCAGCAACACAGCTGGGCTGCACGGGGAAGGAGATTAAGGAGCTGCGTGTGAGAAAAACGGCTTTGAAGGAGACTCAAGAGAAAGCAATTGCCGAAACTGGCTGCAGGGGAAGCTCTCTGTCAGGAGAATCAGATAAGTATTTTTCTATAAAAGCACTGCCCCTTTAATGCACAAATGATAACTTGGTCAAACCCATCTTCCTCGACTTCACTCGGAGGCTGAAGATGATGGGGGCCTGATAATTCTCGAGAAACGGTATTAGATCGCTCACTCCTTATTATGGCTTTGTCACAAGTAGTTTTATGGTAGGAAACCTCTCCGGCTGCCTCGGAGTCCGAGTCTCTAAGTTAGCTCCGTAAATTTGGTGTCCTCTGCGCCCCAGACTCACGGGAACGAGTCTCTGGCCTCAGAAGGAAAGATGCTAATTGGGTCTTTGCATGATGAACAAACTGAACCCATGAAGCCGAGGGGCACGGTCCCTCCGGTGTGCTCAGTACAGCAAGATGCTGTGGGCTGTGGAGTCAACCCAGAGCCGGTCCTCCCCTGAAGGCACTAACTGACATAACCGGTGACCGGCGTGTGGCTTTGACCTGTGTGTTAGTTTACAGGACGCATCGCGGGACCGTCTGGAATTGCAGCACCTCTCGTCTTGGGGAGGGGATGGTGGTGGGCCTCTCCTATATCAGTCCTCTTCCATGCTCCCAAATACGCAAACCCATTTCAACCTAATGAGTGGGGTGGGGCGTCCTCAGGCAGTTATGGGGCACCTGCCCTGCGCTGGGCACTGTTCTGGGCATTGAGGGCTCAGCAGGAGACAGACAGATAAACGTAGTGTCAGAGCATCATCGGATACAGTAAAAAACAAAGCAGGCTAAGAGGGGAAAATTCCCAGCCCTGGGCATGGAGAAGGGTGCTACTGCTGACAGCGGGAGTGGTGGTTTTTATCGGGTGGTAGGAATAATAAGAGCTGCGACTGGTGAGTGTCCTCCTAATTTAGGTTGTGGCAGCATTTTACAAACACTGGTTCACTCAAACCTCTCAACAGCTCTCTAAGGTCCATGATAACGTGCCCAGTCTACAGTTGAGAAAACAGAGGCTGAGACGTGAAGCAGCCTGCCCAAAGTCACGCAGTCAGTAAGGGGTGGAGAGGGGCCCCCAGTCGCCTGGTCATGGGCGGCACCTCCCAGCGGCACTGCTGGTGGCCAGCAGCCCGGCCAGGACTGCGACTTCTCCATTGTCCCGGGTGCGAGGGGACACACCGGCCAGGCTCACACAGAGAACAGCGCGCCGAACGCGCCGCACGGAGCAAACAAACAGGACAGCAAGCCCGCCTGCCGATGGTCTGCTTGGAAAGCCCACTTTGAATGCTCCTCATTTCTACATTTAACAAAGTAGCTTTTAACTCAAGTGGGGAGGCAGGGGAGGCAGGCTTTCAGGCTCCTTTGAAGGACACTATTTAGCCGTAAGTACCTCTCAGTCACTTCTGCAACATGAGATTTTTCCTCTTTTCGTTTTTTTTCTTTTGTCATCCAAGTAAATCACGGAAATGCTACTGAACTCAATTTGAAAGTTCTCTGAGAAGCACAAAACACTCTGCAATCATGAGTTATGATTATTGTCATTTCCACTGTCATCACGATGTCGCGGAGTTAAGACCTGTTTGGATCTAAAGACACACCACGCTATATAACCTACAACTTCCCCAATTCGCTCAGATTTGGAAGAGTGGAGTGTTTATTACACTAACAATTCACAAGGAACAACTGTCTTCCAAATCAGTTCTGTAACCAGTCGTCGCTAAATTGGTTTGAATCACAAATCTGCAAATATTTCTACATTTAGAGATGAGGTGTTTTACCATTACAGAAAGCCTATTATTTTATAGATACAGCAACATTTGCTGAAAATGTATTTTACTTAGAGGAAATCAAATAAGCAAATAGTAGGGAAGATATGTAAATCAGTAGAACATAAAATTGTGCAGAATGAAAAGAATGCACTGTGTTGAAAATACGCAATTTGACTTCTGCTGACAGAGTCTTTATGAAACGGTAGCGCTTATTTATTTGATACCAGTGATGGATGTTCTCCGAGTTTTCAAAGCAGTTTTAAAAATGGGACCAGCACAGGATTATGAGAATTCACTGGTTATGGACTACAAATATTACCAAACCTAGGAAAAAAAGACCGACCGCCAACGAGCGCTGTGGACAGGAGGAGGGAAGACAAGGCCAGGGCCGAGTGGGTCGGGGCGCTGGGTGCCCAGGCTCTCGAGCACGTGTCCTGACCTGTTTGCTCCTGGGGGAAAAGTCCAGGGCACGTGAGCATCGGAGGGAGACGAAGGGCATGAGCAGGGCCAGGAGGGCTGCCAATGGCCTGTGGTCTGCACACGTTTACTCACGCATTCAGCCAACCAGTGTGGGCCTCCTGAGTGCCCCTGCTGCCCCGACAGTCAGGCACCCCGGATGCACAGTGGGGACAGCAGGCACTTCCCCTGTAACCGGGAAGGGGGCATGGTCCTACCCTGTAAGATCAAGGCTGATGGAGGTCCCAGGCAGGTGCTAGAAGTGCCGTGGGAGCCACCTGGCGTCCCAATGGTCGGGAGTGACCCTGCGGCTGCATCCTAAGGGAGGATGAGCGGGTCCTTCAGGTGGAAGTGGCAGAAGACAGGTCAAGCCCCGGGGCAGCAGACGGCTGAGGCATCCTGCATGGGGCTGGGGCTGGGGGGGTCACAGGAGGGCAGACAGAGCCCAGGGGCAACAGGTCGGTGGCCAAAGGGGGGCGGGGCCTGGGCGGTTCCACACACGCTCACCAAACAGGAGGGCCGCCTGCACAGCAGCCTGGTGGCCACAGCGCCAGGACCCACAGCGGGTCCTCTAGGGCTGAGGGGACCTGCTGTGTCGTGACTGACTAGGGCGACCTCCACAGAGAACAGGGGTCATCGTGGAGAAAGACCAGCAGGATGCAGGACGGGGCTCTTTCGGGTCCTGGGGGGACAGCCGGGCCTGCTGCATACTGCTTACCCGGCAAACTCTGCCAGCAGAGCGGTGGGAAACCATGCGTCTGCTCATGGTTCCCGCGTGTGCGACAACATGTGCTGAGCCTCGGCAGGTACTTTTCATCTTAACCCCTCTGCCAGAGTCCGGGGCTTCAAAGACAGATGAAAGTGCCCTGCACTCACAGTGTGCGGATTCTATTTTGCGGGAATGAATTCTGTCTATAGAATCCCTCCAGGATCGAGGTGAGCCGAGGCCAGTAAGAGAAACCCCTTCAGACTGCCTTTCTAATGGCCGGTGTGTCCCGTGTTAGCGGGCACGCTGGCCGCTGCCCAGACATGGGCCCTGCCCTGCTCCTTTCTTTTCAGGTTTTACTTTGTATGTATGTGTTTGGGGACAATCTGTGAGGACAGCAGTTCTAAAAAGCAAATAACTACATGTCAGGAAATTAACATTTGTCAGCAGGCGTTTCAGCTTCCTGCCCAGGAACGGAGGGAGTCGTACAGAAGAGAAGATCTATTGTTCCCCCCGGGTCCTCGGGACCCCCAGGAAGGCCCAGATTAGGAGGAACAGGCAGCTGCTCACTACTTTCAGGGTTTCTAAAGACTTCACGGAAAGCGTCTACTTACGGCAGAGACGCAGCTGGCGCTAACTTAGCTACCCAGGCTAGCTGGCTTTCATGGGACGTCTGGCCGCGGTGGGCTGACCGAGATGTTTCTCACCTACTGGAAGTTCTGATGGGCATTACATGGAAACGTGGACTTACTGTGACTTACCTGTCATGTGGTGAATAGAATTTATCCCAACGTGGTGTCACTGGGGGGAATGTGATAAAACGAGATCAATGTGGATGAAAGCCAGTAACCGAGCCATCTACCTAAGGTTGAAACCTCTGGACATGTGAGTGCCTGCGAGACCTCTCACTGCTGCCTTGGGACACGTGTTAAGTGACAGTCGCTTGGAAGAGGGGTGACTGACTGCGACGACGACACAGATAATCAGGAGGCGTGGACAGGAAGCGGCCGCCGTACTCACATCACTTCCAGACGAGCCTTCCTGGAGTCGTTCCCTCCTTCCGAACGGATTTCACAGGTGTAGTCTCCAATGTCTCCTGACCATGTCTGGCTAATGAGCAGGGACCCGTCCTTCTCCACCACGATTCTGGAACTGCTGGAGGGGGTGATGACCGTGTTGTCCTTCTTCCAGACATAGCTGTGGGCCAAGCAAAGAGTCTTGAGTTAGAAAAAAAAGTCTTGAGTTAGGATCTAGGCCACTGATTCTCATTGTCTGTAAAGATCAAGCAACTGACTACCTTGTGGATATACCAGAATTTCATCATATGGGAATGGTATATATAAAGAAAAGAAAGAAGAAAAGCAACCAGATATCTCGGTCACAATGCATACACAGATGCTGAAGTGAAAAACAGAACAAGAAGATTATGGGAAACATTTATCTATCTGGTCTATGGGTTCAGAAACCGGAAGTCTGTGAAGGCATGGTCATGCCGGCCTCCTGCTAACACTGCTCCTCACCTTCCTGCCCAGGAATGTTCCTGAAGGACCAGAGTGTGGCCTGGGGAGGAGGCAATGACTTTAAAAAAATTCCCAGAGCGGAGTTACCCAGTTCCTGAAAAACCCCTGATCACACTCCATAAACATGCTTTCTTAAAACCCAACCATTCTGGCAGATGGTCTTTACGATTGCATTTCTTTCTCATTTAATCTCATTTATGACAGTTTTCGCACATTTTTCTTTTCAAATGTAGAATCGATTAAGCGCCTGTCCTGCCTCTGGATATCGGTGGGCAGGCGCCACTACTCGCTGCAGATGGGATGAGAGTGCTGGCTTTCCGCTCCAAAATAATTTGATTGGATTTTCAAAATGTACCCCATTCTTTAAAGGCTTAATATGCACAGAGCACAGACATTTACAAACTACTTATGTGAAATTCCCCCGAGACAAAACAGGAGCGACTCCACCAGAAAGACATGACGGAGTCGCTCGCTTTGGGGGGCAGCACTCAGCTGACTGCCACTTACATGGTGCTCCTTCCTGGAGAAACCCAGGACAAGGAGGCCCTGAGAGTGAGCACGCTAACTCCTCAGGAAGGAGCTCCAATAATGCCTGTTTAATCACACAGGAAGTTACGAGAAAACCACAAAGATCCAAGGGGACTCCGGGTGAGCTCCGAAAGCAGCAGAGAAGCAGCCTTGTTTGTGATCCGTGCTTTTCTTGAATCCCACTCCCACACCAGTTAGAAATGAATGGATTCTTTCCAGGCATGGTAACGATCTCTAAGGCAGCATCCAAGGATTCTCTAGCTAATCCTTCGCCTGTTAGTTTTGTTTGTTTTGCATTTGACATTCTTATAACTAAACTTGGCTTTTGAGCTCTGGGCCCAGGTGGAGCTATGGAAATTCCTGATTTTCCAAACAGCTGCCCAGGAAGAGTGAGAAAACAGCTTAGCCTCTGAATCCAGTTAACAACATATGCGTGCGCCAACCACTGTCCCTCTCTGCTCAAAGTGAAAGGTGCCAGAAAGCAGGGGGGCATCTTGATCCCACCCCTCCGGCTCACTGCGTGCCTTGCGGGCTAAGGTCAGAGTGCAAACACTCGGACGACTGCATCTTTCTGTCCAGATTTATTCTCAAGCCTGAAAATTGAAACCGTTTTGAAAGTGGCGAGTCTGGGAGGAAGCTCGCCACTGGCTGTTGCCTGTGCTCGAGGCCTGGCTGCTACCTGGAGACATATTTTCATCATTAGTTTCCCAGTCTGAGTTCAAACAAAGACGGGATGTCACCACTGCTTTAGTGAATCTTCAAGTCATCTAGTTCCCTTCTTGACATGTTCTTTCCCGCTAAACGCGTTAGGTAACTGTGCTTGCCTTTCTTCCATGGCAGGTCTCCCTCGCTTCCCATTTCACAATGGAACCATCCGCGGAGCAGAGAGAACCCCGCGTGAGTACAGCATGGCCCCAGTGTAAACACTTCTGCAATCCTATTCGATCCCTCTGGATTTTTCTTTCATTAAGCATCAGCCTCTGACATGTACGTTTTACAGATAGTGTATTAACCTTGGCAGAAAAATCATGAAACGCTGTATTGAAGGCACGAAGTGGAACATAGCTCACTGTAAATAATACATAAGGCTGGAGTAGAAAATGGGATTTGTGTGATTAATGATGGGGCCCACGACGTGCAATGCCGTAATCAGGGATCTAAGGCTGAAATCAAAGTTCCTGAAATTCTCCCTTCTGGTCTCAACTTCCCTCCAGAAGCTCGCAGAATATTAACGAGCCCGAAACTTAGTCTCTGAGTGAGCTGACCGGAGAGAGATGCGGGGGTCGTGTGTGGCTCCGCAGCGCAGTGTGGCCGTGGTCCCCTTAATCACCACGCGGTCCTCAGGAGGGCTGACGATGGACGTTCGATCTGAAAAACACAAGTTACAGCTCAGACAAAATGACACGTGTGAGCGCGTCCTCCCTCAGGGTAATGAATTGGTCATCTGAAATCAAAGCCTCCGAGTTTCCTCTTATTTTGGCAAAACGGGGAGATGGCAGCACTGGTACTCAGGGGACGGCAACGAGCCTGTCCACGCTGCTGCCCAGGAAGCAAGCCCCGTGCCTCTCCGATCACCCAACCCTCTCAACAATCTAGAGGGGTGAGAATGGGAGATCTTATGCGGATGTTTACTAGGTTCTGCATGCTTTGGTAAAAATCTTGGTTCTTTCCCAAGGTCATCGACATTCTGGTAATCTCCATCGTCCTCCTCGCACTTGGTGACGTTGCAAAGTGCTGTCGTTTATGATATCGCTTTATTTAATCCTCACAATAGTCTTGGGATGGTTGCGACATTACTGTTCCCAGTTTCCAGGACTGACCCTGATGCTAAGAAACATGGTGGCTTCCCAGATACCACCGAGTCGGGAAGCAGTGGGGCCTGGTGCCACTCCGTGCAGACCAGCAGCCACCCACACTCCCCAGCCCTGGTGACAGCCCTGTGGCATGTCCCCACATGGCACACCTCAAAGGTGGACTCTGCTTGGCACCGTGAGCAGAGCTCGGCATGTTTCGAACACCTAACGGATCGCCAGCCATAGCACAGAGAAGCTGCCCGGGTGTGAAACACAGCACACGTTAGCTCCTCTTCAAGGATGGTACCGTGACCAAGTGTTCCTTCATGCTAGTGACCAATTTTCTCTCCTCATACAGTCTAGGAAACTCTGTTAGTGAGCACTGTCTTGTCTATTTGGAACATCGAGTTCTTAGTAATGTTTTACATATGGATGGAGCAGAGGGGAGAGTACGCTGGCGAGTGAGGCTAAAGGGGACCGCAGCCCTTGGTAAACAACTTCTTCTGTATCTCAGAAACCTGTGCTGCAGATAGAAGAGAAAACAGAAGCTGGGGAAACACAGGTCTCTCTCTCTCTCTCTCTGAGTTCACGCCTCACACATAGGAGACGTTCATACGTCATCTACTGGGAGAGTTCTACTTGGTTATCGTGATAGCATACAGAAAATACACTTCCTCTAGGATTTGAATCTTGACTCAGTTCCCTTACATAATGATTATAAAATTAACCAACCAATCAGCTTTGTTATGTGAGCTACTTGGGGTTAATATCCCTACTCTACTGACTTTAAAAAGTCAATCTTTTTTATCTCTCTTGAAACGTCTCCTTTATATCTTAGAATACTCTAATTATTCTTTTAGAAATGGAAAATTAATTACTCAACACGTTTCTATAAGTTAGTTGTAAAAACCATCACTGTCTCCTGATTGGGTCGGAGTCCAGGGTCACCGACACCCCCAAGCACAGAGGACGTGCTGCTTAAACCATGGTTAGCAGGAGGGTCCCTGGGCCCGCGGTCCTTACTCCACACGGTGAGCGTGGCAGACGCGTTCAGGGAGCCCTCGGTGTTGGCTGCATAGCAGGTGTAGTGCCCAGCATCCTGGATGAAGACAGGTGTTATCTGCAGACCCCCCGATTCAAGCAGCATGAACCTAGGAATCTGCACAGAGCCACTGGCCAAAATGTGGTTTCCTGTAGAAGGGCGGAGAAAGCAGGAGTGTTATTAATAGAACCATAAGGCTCGAGAGAAGGTCATGCTTAGAGCCACGACCCCGAAGAGAGCTGGAGGAAACATCAGAATAAAGTGGAAACTTGATGCACAAACATAACCAAAGCGGTTATCTTTAGCAGTACATACAATAACGAAAACCAAGGCATCCTCCTTGCCCAACACTGAGCAATTTGGTTAAACAGATTAGGATCCATGTCTGTGATTGCTATTTGTGGGTGACTGATTTTGAATTTTCTTTATATTTGTAGGCATTTGAAGAATTGCCATATAAAGCTATGATTACATTCTAAATCAGGAAAAAAAGGGGAAATACGTGGAACAGAAGACCGCCCTCCTTTTCATCAATCTGCAGTTTCCCAGATCTTTATGATTCTAGGCTAAAGTCTAAGCTCACGGCTTATACCTCTGAGAGTCTAGAGGCTGCTGGGGTTTTCTGGGAGCATGAAAAGGACGGAAGCGTGGAAGTAGCACCCAGAAACCGTGCAGCCAGCACGGCCAGTTAACCTGCGTGGATGGATGCAGTTCAGCACCGTGTGTTACGGTGGATGATGAGCATCGCCCAGTGAGTGACATGCGCCGAACGTTAGAGGGCTGTGGGAGTCACGAGGAAAGCCCAGGACGTGACACCTTCATAGGAAGTGAAGGTACAGTGGAGCTAAGAGTGTCACACGTGTCCAACTGGGGAGCACGCAAATGGTCCTGTGCTAGAAGCATCTATCTTACAAAATAAAAGATTATGATTCTTGGTTTTTAATGTGACCAAGGAAGGACTCCTTTGCTTCACAAACGGGAAACGGAGTCCGGGCATTCACTGCTGGTCTAAATCCGATACTAGGTTTGAAGGCCCCAGGTCCCCGGGGAAGAACTAAGGCAGAAGAAAGGACATTCACACATTTTCTTATAAATGTCTGTTTAAAAAATGACCAGCCTGTAGGTTCCATGAAGCTGACGGGGTCATGTCCATCTTACGTGTCCTTGCACCTCTGGCATTAGCACCTGGGAGGTGCTCAATAAATGGCCATTTAATCCTCACTGGCTGAATGAATGAGAGGGAGAATACTGATGTGCGACCCCCGGCCCAATGGGTCCCCCTCTCTGCGTGGGCCAGGCTGCGGTGGCAGGCGCATGCCACCTACCTCTCCTCCACGTGATGGCAGGTTTGGGTGCCCCCGACACCTCACATCTCAGAATGGCTGTCATCCCGTCGGTGACCGTGGTGTCCACTGGCATCTGAGTAAACGCGGGCGCCACATCTAAGCAGAGGAGTGAAAAGGGGATATCCTCAGGGCGCTGACCGTCAGAAATGTCCCCACCGGCCCGGCAGAAATGTCTGTATGGACTTTATAGAACTAATCACAGAGATAATGGTAGTGATTAAAAAAAAAAGAAAACCTTTCGGGAATGAGTAGAACCTTCCATGACTCCTCTCCCAGGAATTGCCCATTGCTGTTTACAGCTAAATAGAAACAGTCTCCTGGTGTAACGCACACACAGTGGGAACTTTTGGGCGAAGGCTAAAGAGGAGAGGCGCATTTACTTGGAGAAATCAAACCAGCTGCTTTCACTATTAAAAAAAAGTTAGAAAAGCTGATTTTTGAATACTAGAGAGCATCCAAAAGATGACACTTTCACACTTTCTAGGATCCGTTCTGAAGGTTAAAACCACTCAAGGTGACCCAGGCACAGTGGCCCGGCTGCCTTCCCCGGTGGGCAGCCCCGCGAACTGGAGTACCCTGCTGCCTGCCTCCCAGGCACACAGCCCCGACCTGATCCCTTCTCTCTAGGCCTGGTGCCACCTCCTGGATGACGCAGTGGCTTCCCAACTGGTGTCAAGCCTTCTGTGCGTCCCCTCATAACCATTCCCACACCCAGCGTTGGGTGCCCTGGGAAAGCTAAGTGACACTCTGCCACACCCCTGCTCACAGCCCCGAAGGCCCCCGCTGACCCTTCCCTGTCACCTCCCAGGACTCCTTGCTCATGTCAGACCTGCCCCCATCTGCCTGCTCTCACTGCACACACACCCAGCCTGGCTTGTCCCTCTAAGGCACTTGCAGTATCCCTTCCCCATCCCATGACATGCTTGTCGCCACAATTTTGCACAGGCTCCGCCTTCTCTTCAAGTTTCCGCTCCGGCCCCGCCCCATCTCGGAGAAACCTTTCTGCCCACCCCTGAAGCAGCCTTCCCGGGTGACCCTGAGCCCAGCCAGTTTGGTGCCTTCACTTACTTATCTCTAGCTGAACTATCACGTCCTTTACTGTCTTTCTCCTCCCCCACGATCCTCTGTCCTGGAAGCCCCACAGCCTTGTATGTCTTCCTCATAGCTCTGTCCCCAAGCCTGGTGGACCCAGAAGGCCTCACACAGATGCTCAATAAATGCTTGTTAAAGAATGAATAAATATTGATTGTTTTATACACTATGTTTTCCTACCATTAAAGCTGTTTTGATTTGAAAAACAGAGTCCATTTTGCTAAACTTACAAACCATGATCATTTATTTATCTATTCACTCCCCCGTCGCCATGGTAACCACTTTAAGAAGCATTTTGTTTCAATTTCCAATCTGATCTCACAAAGACCCTGTGAATTGGGCTGGGTTGGTTCCATTTTGATAACACCGAGGTTGAGAAATTAAGTAATGTGCCCCAGGTCTCTCACTGGAGAAAGGGTTCACCACCAAGGCCTGCAGGCCAAGTACAGCTTGGTGCCTCCTGCTTTTGTAAATAAAGTTTTATTGGAACAGCCTGCTTGCTTCTTATTGTCTGTGCTGCTTTCCTGCTACTACAGCAGAGGTGCGTGGCTGCCAGAGACCCGGTCCCTCCACCCTGAACATACTATCTGCCCTTTCACTTTTTACTTTTGAAAAAGTCTGCCATCCTTGCCCCGTAATATCCTGGCCACAACTGCAAAGTATGCTTTCATAATTCTAACTGACCAAAACTCGGTTTCTGGCTTAAGTACCCACTATTATTTCTACTGTTTGAAGCCATATTGGTTTCCTATGCTCCAAAGCAGAGGATGAATTTGACCCCTGGGCAAGGTTCAAGGAGGTGACCCCTAGTTTACCAAAATATGCATGTGGATCGTTAAATATTCCGTCCGTCTCTGTAAGGTCTGGCCGACAAGAGTCATTGGCCCCGTGCACACGGACACTGATCTGCTCCTCCAAAGGCTCTCGCTCCTGAGGAGATCAGCATTTTGCTGCCGAAAGGGCAAACATGAAAGCTATGATTCCACCAGCACTAAGTTCTACTTCGCTTTATAACAGTAACACAACTGTGGGAGATTAACAAGAAAACCCACAGATAAAATGAAAAGCTTTACTTTTATTTTATTTTTCAAAGTGCCCAAGTATTTCTGTTAATGGGGTAATAAAAGAAACTCAGGAAAGAGCTATAATCATTCAATAAAACTAAAACAGAGAATGAATATTTAAAAAATAGAAAAAAGATCCAAAGGAAAAGGTTAGGGACGAGCTGTTCACTTAATGGTCCTTGTGGTTCTGTGCAGAGAAATGGGGGCTGTTTTCTACCTCCTGGGTCAGAGGGGACTCAGTGCTGGAACCACCCACCCATGATGATGCGGGCCGACTCGTGTATTTGCGGCTGGGGGCTTCACAGAGCTTAACGAGTGGGTTAAGGAGTGCTGAGGGGTGGCTGTCCCCAGCGGTCCCCTTAGGCCCCTGCACCCTGTCATTTACCTCAGGGGACTGACACGTATGGCCACTTTCTGAGTGTGCCATGCGGGCTGAGGTAGGGAAGCCCGGCCCGAGGCCCGGCCTTGCTGCTGGGCGCTACTCACTGGTGACGTCCAGGTAGGTGTGGGTCTGAATCTCCCCTCCCTCGTTGCTGGCGAAGCACTGGAAGATTCCGGAGTCGTCTGGACGCAGCTTTTGGATGCGCAGGCCTCCACTTGGGAGCACCCTGTAGCGAGGGTTCTGGAGCTCGCTGATGGACACGGCGTCCTTATACCATCTCAGCGTGGGAAGAGGGACCCCTGCAGGGGAGCGGGGATAGCTAGGCATTAAAAAAATTAAATTCCGAGACTCTCTCACAGGAGGAATAAACGGCAATATCTTAGTGGGCATTTTCTCATCTGCCTGTCCTCTCAGCCACCCTGTTAGGTGTTACTTTTCTCATCCTGGATGAAGAAATGGAGGGAGGGTGGGCACGGGTGCCTAGCACCCGCTGTGAACCCTTCCGGGAGGGCGCCTATGAGCCTGCCCAGCTGTGCTCATCTAGACAGACGGGGTGGGGACAAAGGTCTCCTCTGCTCCACTTGGGGCTTGGCGATGGTCACCAGGGCAGGAGCCGGGGGACAGCCGAGTCCCAGGTGGTCTGTGGCATCATGGGCAGAGCAGCTTCCCGCTGCTGGTCTCTGTCCCCACATTTGGAAAAGGGGTGACCATCACAGCCTCAGGAGGTGCTGTGACAATGAATCATGTCAGTCTGTATGAAAGTGCTTGGGACACGGTGAGTGCTCCTTGGGGAGCATGGGCACTGTAACAACTCCCATCAGTAACGAGTGCTGCCTTGTAAACAGCCCCCTCCTAAGGCAAGGACAGGACTGGCCTAAGCTCAGGCTGCAACACTGAAGGAGCCTGCGTCAGGTTAAGTAACAAGCACGTGCATGTGTTTATAGGTCGAGCAGACAGGGGACACTGAATCGTGGCCAGAAGAAAAGCTGCACTGGCCCCAGGACTATGACCACAGCAGATGAGAGGACGGTTAGGGATGCTTCCATCCTTGAGCCCAGAGGGGATGGACCCAGAGCATGGTCAAGGCTCTGACCAAGAGGAAAGGGGTGGGACTGCGGCTAATGCCCAGCTGTGACTCCCATGTCCTCTTCCGCATCCTAACAACACTACAGTGAGAGCCAGGCCTCAAGACTGGAGCTGCGCACGCAGCCAGCCCACCCTGAAGGAGGGGTGTGCACAGAGGACCAGGGACAAGCTCACACGGGCGGAACGGGGGTTGGAAACACAGCGCCCGTCCTCAGCCCGAGAGCATGAGGACCACTGCTGCTCCGGGACTGGCCGAGGTCAGCGCGTGTGGTCCAGCGACGTGGCGTGCATGCACTGTTCCCACGGTGGCCTGGCTGCACTGGACAAGCCTGGACCACAGAAACACCAAGCTCCTTCCGGGCTTTTCTGGGTGGCCCGGTGACGAGCAACAGGGGAAGACTGCTTCCTCAGAACTTCTCCCTGCCCTTCCCGGAGCAAAGGAGGATCAAGCCACCCACAGGGATAAACTGGGCAGCCTGGGGCGCTGCGCAGAGATGCAGGTCGAAGCTCTCCAGGCCAGAGCCCAGGATGATGGTGGGCACACGTGCATGCTGTGGGCCCATGGGCACAGTGAAGAGGTCGCCAGGCTCACTTCTCCATCTCAGAGGGTTCCATGCCTCAGTTTCCCTGGATATAAATCAGCTTAAACAAAACACGTCTCCACATGATTCAGCGTGCAAAGCACACCCAAACCCCTCGGTTTAAGACGCTATGTAGTTGTAAGGTGTCTTCTTTTAATAAATAAAGTTATAGTGTCCTGGAATATTTCAAGATAATGTACTCTCAGATTCTGTTCTTTGCCTTAATTATGTGTTTCCTGTCATTTTTCATTAAATCAGGAAATTAAAAAAAATCCATTTCAAGGTAAAAGCATAACCAATTCATGTAAAATCCCCTTACAGCAATTACATGATGTAGCTTTCATAAAGAATACCCACTTCGCACGCAGCTATAGTCTCAGTGTCAAAATTAAAAGAAAGCAGTAAATTATAGGATGGCAACGCAATGTTGAAAGACCTGCTGAAATTATATTTGTAAGTCCGCACTTAACAAGTGGTTTCCACCACAGAAATCAGGTAAAAGGAGAATTCTCTAGTGAAGTGGAGAGCCTGAGATTGTCATTTACTGAAAAATAATTGTTAGCATGCAGGGAGCGGGAGCGTTTCTATTTTGCGGCAATTCCAAGTCGTGAAGGAAATCTCATCCCCACAGGACTGCGGGCTCTAACTGCCGTACAGCTCCTTTCAGAGTTGTCGGCTTTAGAAGCTGGTGTTTATACAAGAAAGGGAAGAGTGCGGCCACGGCAGTGACAATATTTCCATTTAGAATGCACATGACTATTCTCTCATCCTTTCCTCCGCTTCCCTAGGCTGACTTGGGAGAGCTGGGACAGAGGGATCGAGATGGAGCAGATCTGTGAACAGCGGCCACCGTGAGCCGACCAGGGCTGCGAAGCAGAGCTGCCCAGGAAACAGACCTGTGGGCAGGAGGAGCTGTTGCACAAAGCACAGTGGACAGAGAGGAGGGACGTGTGGCCAGCCGCTGACCCCCATGGACTATCAGTACTGCTCAGTGACACCACCATCCTTCTCAGAAATGACAAATGCCTTGCAGGTACCGACAGATACAGGGCCTCAGCTCGCAGCGAGACACAAGGTGTCTCGGCCGGAGCACTCGCTTTGGTAGTGGAGGGGTTTGGGTTTGCCACCTGTCTCCATCGCCGCGCGGCCCTCGGTGGGTACTTGCCCAGTGGTTAATGAGCACCCCCTACGCGCCAGACATTGGAGGAGGGTTTACAAGAACTACCTCACTGCGTCTCCCTGGCTCTGTACCCTGAGCACATTATGAACCTTGTTTTCTAAGCCTTTGCTTCTGTATGTTATGGTGAGATAATCTCTCTCTTACGGAGCTGTTTTAAGATTTACAAAACTGTTAGCAGTCTTTACCTCTCAGTGCTTAGAAGACAATACCCACCCTTAAGAAGGGCTGATATTAACATTAAAAACACAAAGGTCCTTTTCATTTCTTGACAATCTCCTGGGCACAATCTAGCTTTTGTTAATGAAATTGCCTTAAAAAGCCTGTCTCTGTTATGGGGTTTAGTGTAACTATTTGTGCCACTGGACATGAAATGGTGGCAGTGGACAGATAGTAATCGAAGCGTGAGGAAGAGTGGTGGAATTGCCTGAATGACAAAGGTAACATCGACCCAAAGCTGAAAAGGCTTCCTGTTTGAAGAATTTCCAACAATCCTTCCTCCTACAGAACCCCATGGATGAGAATGAATTGTTTGGCCCAAGTCGTGGGGACCATGCTCTCGTGGAGTCAGAGCATTTTGTAGGGAGTCAGAGGATGCGGCTACACTCAGCCTTCCTTGTTCTTCCCACGAGTAAATACTGTCCCTGCTTTGCAAGTGAGGAAGCAAATGCTCCGCAAGGTCAAACATCTCCTACAAGGTCACGTGCGTAGGAACTGAGCTCTACTCTGCTCCCAAGGCCCTTTCTCACCACCACGCTCACAGCATCCCTGTGATGACGACTCTGCCCTGGAAAATGCCACTTCAGTCCCCCCATCTCACGGGTGCTCTTGAGCGGCCCCCGCACTCACCCATGGCTTGACACATGACGTCCACTGTTTCTTCCACTTCCGCTAAAATCCGACTCTCTGGTTCAGCAGTAAAATATGGTGGCTCTTTAAACAAAAAAACACAAAAGTGCCTGTAAGCAAAAGAGGTTTATTTCAGGAGAAACTTGTAGCCCCAAAGAGTTTAAAGTCCTTTGGAAAACTAGTTTTGAAAACTTCATCAGTTACCATCGTGTACCCAAACTCAGAATTCAGTGGGCAGAGGCCAAAGGCCATTTATGGTCTCAGGTTTTTGAAAGCAAATGACTACTCAGGGCGATAGCTACTTCTCAGTTTATGGGCTAGAATCATGGAATACCTTAATTCACATTTAGAAAGACTGTCCCGAGAGGCTCCTAACGGTTTATATTTACAGCGCGGTGTATTATAGGTTAGTCTGCTTCAGTATCTGAACTAAACACCAACTCGGGAGGCACCCACCTACCCCAGGGAACATAGCAGCCTCTTCACATATTTTCTGAAGCCTTAGCAGCTCTTCTTCTGCAAAATATAGACCTAATACTTCAACGGAACACAAAATGATAGCTAAGAGAAAAAAGCAAAAGGGCCTCTCATCCATCTTTAGTAGCCAAGGAAACTCTTAACCACTTGCATAGCTCTAGATACTCCACTCGCCTATTTGACCAAAAAAAAATTCATTGTGTTAAACAATGAATTTCCTTGGAGAGTAAATTGCAATATTTTTCTCAGTTTATTCAGCAGAATTCAACAGTGGTATGGCCAAGTTCGTGGGATATTGTGCGATTTTATTATCATGATAACGAAGGGCCGTTGTACCCATTCTCTGTGTGAAAATGAATTTCTGGGCACCTTGTGCCGGAGGGGTCTGTGTCCACTGTAACTGCACTGTGTGTGGACACTGCATGTGGACTGCAGCCTGGCCTGCCTCCGCAACAGTCTCTTTAAAACGTGTGGAACCAAAAGAGGAATGAAAACTTAGCATTTCAAAGAAATTATTAAGGAGAAGAGGTTGAAGGTTCCTCATGGGAGGCAAACTTAGGTATCAATTCTGCAATTACCTGGATCATTCGAGCAGAAACAGCCTGCCTGAATGACCACTCAGGCTGAGACGGGTGCGAATTCACTAAACAGAGGCAGGTTCCTCTGCTCATTAAGAGCGTACAGACCAGGCCTGGAGAAACGCCACAAAGACTGGATGTCTTTCCTTCCCCAGCTGGTCTCCACGGCACGCTCACATATTCACACCCAGCCCCGTCTCCTTCGTCAGTCACGATGAGAGCAGCATTATTTCTATTCTAAGTCCACAGCAGGTGCTTCTGCTGAGGCCCTGTGTGCATCAGTCCATACTTACAGCCACAATCTCATTAAGGGATGTGAGAAGAAAAGAAAAAAGCTAAGTTAAAACGTCAACACTTGCCTATGACACTCATTACAGTTTTCCTTTGTCAAATGAAACATTTTATGCCGAGTTAATCGTGCTGCCCCACGCAGCTGTAGGGAATGAGAGGGCCCCCATGTATCCTTACTCAGTTTCCCTCAGTGTAACATCTTGCAAAACTATGGTACAAAATCACAACCGAGGTGACATGGAAACAGAATGTACTGCGTTCTTATCTCCCAAGTGTGCTTGTACGTGTGTGCGCACGTGTGTGCGCGTGTTTAGTTCTATGCGATGTCATCACCTGTGTGGGTCTAGGCGTCCATCCCTCCCCCCACCCCAGATCTCCAGCCACCGTGAACTTCTGTCCATCTCTATCATTCTGTCCTTTCCAGAACGTTATGAAAGTGGAATCATAGGGTACGTGATCTAGAGGTGGCTTTCCTCACTCATCATCATGTCCTTGAGATTCAGTCACGATAAGTCACACCTTAATGACGAAAACCCAAACATGTAAATGAGCAGCGTCCACAAGCCCAGGCCACTCCTGACGCATTGTTACGGATGCCGGACGTGTCTGGCACAGTCTGCGGTCAGAGACAAGGGGCACTCTTCACACAGTGACCCGAAGCTGGCTCAGGCTAAACTAAGGTGTGGCTCTGGGGCTGAGGTGCACACGGGGCCTCCAGGCCCGCACGGCCCCTCCTCTCTGAGCCCAGCCGTCCCCGCTCCGCAGCTGGTTACCAGGGGCCTGGCACGAGGTCACTGCCCCATGCACTCAGAGCAGGGCAGCCAAGCTCCTCCGGCAGTGTGTGGGAGGGCGGTCTCTCCCCTGCGGAGCCAGCGCCCAGGGACGCGTTAGCGGCTCAACGAGGAGGCTGGGGGTGGCATGGGCACAGCCAGTGGTCGACACTCCTGCCTTGTTCCAGAAGTTTTCCAGATGGCTGAGTGAGCAGAGTGGGGGTGACGGCCACAGGCCCCGAAAGGCCCCCCCAGCTCTGATTGCGACTCCTCATGGATATTCGTGTCTCACCGCTCACCCTTCACATTCGTAGTAACCTAAGTCAACAGGTACTCCAAGATTTTTCTTTCTACCCCCAGCTCCTTTTGCGCAGTCAGCCAAGGAAAAAGTGGGGGGTACCAGGTACACCAACCATGAAAAGACTGGCAGGGGAGCAGTGGGGAGAAGCTGCTGGGTCCTGTGCACACGCTTTTCCAACCACTTCATCTTCAAAGGGCAGTGCCTGTCTCAGCTACTCGGCAACTGGGAGGTGACGGGACCACAGCTGGGAGGGCTGGAGGCCAGCTGAAAAAGCATGTTATTAAGGCATCTCCCACTGTGGGAGACTGGGCTTACCCCACTGGGGAAACTCCGGAAGCCAGTACAGAAACAGCCTTTGAGAGACGTCCCTATCAGAAGGGGTGAGGGAGCACGGCTGTTTATCCACCCGTCCATCCCATGCTGGTTGACTGTTTGTCACGTCCAACCTGCCACATGGGGGCACGATGGTGCCACACAAGGTGCCACTGTGGCTCCAAGGGCCGGAGAAGGCGGCCGAGGTATCTGGTTCACCCGTGTCGTGTGTGGCGGGGAAGCGAGGAGAGTGCAGAGGGCAGGTCAGGGTAGCAGTGCTGAAGAAACCGCAGGAAACTGAGCGGAGGTCAGGTGGAGCAGAACACGGCGGGCCCAGCCAGGAGGCCGGCTCTACGTGGGCGGCGGGGGCCCCACAGGCATGTCAGCACACGTGGCGCTGCCTGCAGTCAGACCCCTGTGCAGTTTCAGCCTCAGAAATGAAGCGATACGGCAGGGACATTGACAGGTGAGTAAACCGCGCACTGGTCTGTCTTATCTCATCAACATGAAATGAAAGTGATTGGAAGCCAATTTGTCGCTGCTTTCTTTCATCTACATATTCTTCTAGTAGCTCCTTGCACAGTTCCACCAGTGACAGCCTGTGACACCAATAACGTTTTCTGAGGACCCCCCACTCCATGATCGTCCGGCTTGGGGTTATAATCTCCCAAATCTCTCTGAGCTGACGGGCTCTTCAGGGCCGTTCTAGGATGACTTAATCACAGAGTGCTACCTGTCACAGCGAATTCTTATGAAGAAAAAGGGATTTAAATCGACATGATAAAGAAACGAAGTGGTTCTTATCCCTTTAGAAGCCAGAACTCAGAGAGATGGTAACTCCAGAGAAGACAGAAGCAGTGTGCTTTGGATTTCAGATGTAAATGCAAACCTGAAGTTCATACGATAGATTTAAATATTCTGAAAGGGAATTATGATGGAAACAAACAGTCTAGTTTACAAGGGGATAACTTTCTCCTCTTGTTTAAATTACCTTAAAATGTTTTTGTGCGATATAGTCCTGTCTACTGGAGATTTACACATCATAATTTTTAATTTTGGTTCACTCTATAATGTGCTGGGCTTATATAACTCTAGGTCAAGCTGATGAAAAAGCCCTCGCAGAGAGCGGGGACGGTATTTACGTCCACAGCTAAGGTGCGCATGAGAAAGGTGGCAGGGAACAGGCTCCCATCCCTGGTGTGGCATCAACGATTTGCGACTCCAAGCCTGCTTTCTCGGACACTTTCAGAGGTCTAACACTTCTTTCAGGGTGGACGACAGGTTTGCAGTCATTTCCAGGTCACAGAGCCACTTCCTAATGATTTAAAGGAATGTGACATACTCAAGGCAAATGGCCTTTCTTGATACTCTTGTTAATTTTGTATGCAGATACAAGCCTTTATTTTTCTTAGTCTGCAAAGTGGCAACTGCACAATATGTCATTTGAGGAGCTATTGCTCTCAGAGAGGCTTTCTGCGTTTTTGGTCTTTCCTGGCCTGCATTTCCCTTCCCGAGGAGTAGAGAAGAAGCCGGGAATGTCCTTCCGGAGTTGACCTTGAAGGTACCTCTTATCTGCAGTGGCCACCAGTCTACTAAACAGGATCCCTACGACCCTGATCACAGCCACTTAAAATAAAAGTATTACAGGAGCTGAACAACTGGGAGAAATAAAGGCACTTGCGTCACAATTTAATGTAACCGGACAATCTGACAGTAAAGCGCGGCAGCCCTCAGCCTTGCACAATGCACACTTCCTAAACCCTGAGCTCTCCCAGCGCTGAGAACGACTCACCTTTATCTTGTTCTCCTTGGTTCAGAAATGACACTCGGCTTGTTCTAGGAATCACCTCTGTTCTCATTTTTTAATTTACCAAAAGGTAACATCCATCACTTTCTAACCTTCTTCTGGGTCAAAAAACAACAGTAAGAGAATAATCCCTGAACACTGACCAAAGCTGCCAAGTTAGTTATAGAAGAGTTTAGTGGCATAAAGGAAGGTGACACACATGGCGAGGGCGTTCCCCCTCTACTTCCCAAGCCTGATCCCCGGGAATGTTCCCAAGACATTTCCTGGAAGTCCTTAGAACATCAACTGTTTGGATGTAGTGGGTGTATATTATTAAAAAAGAAAAACAACATATGTTTGGAAGATAAACTCAATGCCACCTCCATTTGCTGAGTTAAAAATGAAGGTGGTGAACTGTATGTGCTGCTACGTTGTTTCCAGGGAGGCACCCGTGGGCTCTCCCTACCTGAGGGTGGTGGCATCACCGTGCACCAGGTTGAGCATTACCTATGATAGCAAGAAAGCCTTTTGCTTGGGCTGGTTCGAAAGCGCTCCCTCTCAGCGTCGCCTCACACAAGTACGCTCCACTGTCCATGAACGTTGGGCTGCTGATGGTAAGGTGTCTCCCAAAGCTGTGGAGCCCACTGGTGATTCTCACCCCGTTTCTCTTCCAGGTCACAATCAGCTCTTCGACAGGCCTATGAGAATGAAGGGCATTAGTGACAATAACTGTGAATCATGGACGAGGTAGTAATAAACTCAGGCGTTCAGCACAAGCTTGACAAAGCTAATTCTACCAGGAACTGTGGTGGGCTGAACAGTGGACATTTAAAACTCAGTCCAGATGTAACTCTGCTCCCTCATGGCACGCATCGACCAGACATTCTGCTCACGGGCTATTGAGCGAGGGTGGCTAATTACGGCAGCAATGGCCCGTAAGTGCTAATGACTCCATTTACGCAGGGAGAGGATGTAGAAAATAAATACTCCTGGGGGCACGGCCCCGTGGGGTGTGATCATGGGAACTCGGTTCTGGAGAGACCGCTCCCCAGGCTGAGGACACCTAGGAGCGGACGGGGCAGAACGGACTCTTCCCGTGAACCTCAGCGCCTCTCTCCTCCTGAGTTAGAATCTCCGAGGGGGCCTCCCCCATGACCCGAAGCTAAGTTGAAAAGCACTGCTTTCCAATGTAAATACCCCAGGCGATATAAATAATATACCTGCTACCATGGAAGGCTTGGGGAGCCCGTTCCCTGGCTTCCCTCCAGGTCGGGCTCACAGCCCAGCTGCACTAATGACGCCATCGCTGGGAGCACATGCCACCTGCGGGGTCTCTTCCCACCGACCAGGAGCCCATGGCAGTCATTACGGATCAGTGTCCCCGCGTTGGGGCCTGGCCGCGTACCTGGCATTGGCTATGCACTCCAGGGTGATCTCACTGGACCCAGCCACCACACTTCTGTTGCCCGGGGGAATCACAATGACGGGAGCCACGGTTTCGGGTGCGCCATCGTCTCCTGTGGCAGAGAAAGCACAAGTCTGTGGGACTCTCCTAAGTATGGAAGGTGTGAGCATTGGAAATGTGACAAATGAGAGATCTTGTCAAGCCACTCTGATAGGACACCTCCAGGTCTCACGACCCTGTCCCAACCCACCCCCTAGGAGAAGCCCTCGGTCCCTGGCCTTTATCAGATGCTCAGAGCCTGGGGTGCAAACCACTGCCTGTAGCCTGAGCCAGTGCCCCATGAAAGGCCAAGGCAGCCGGGCCTGACGCTGACGCTCGGGGCTTCCTGCTGCTGTGCGTTCTCCCGAAGGCCTGCTGGCTGCATTCTTTTTTAATTGATTTAACTTATTGAGTTACCTAGTCTACGCACTCTTTTTAAAATCCATTCAATTCTACAAATAGGTCCCACGCCAGGCCCTCCACGAGGCGCGCGCGCACGAGCAAGCAGCTGGCTTTCTTATTCGGCCCAAATGCAAACACACTCAGTTAACACAGCGTCAGCTCCATTAGGAGCGCTTCTCAGCCCTCCTTTCCTGAAAAGTAAATATCCTGAATCATCTCTGTTTGGTGAGTATCAAACGATAAATAATTTAGCTCATACTTCTGGTGACAAGGGAGAAAAAAATAGGACACGTTGTTGCCACTTTTCTCTAAAATGCATGTAATATCAAAATTAAACTACCCACAGTACACTCTGCTGTTGTTTATTTAGGGAAAATGAAGGCTGATCAAACATTTCTAGAACAGGAATTTCAATAAAGGGTGAAGATGGACGAGACTGGAAGTGAAAATAAATTTAAATTACTGTAAATACAAAGTGTTTCACCAAATCCTTCATGCTGTACAGACCGCCATCCTTATAAGCAGCTGAAGAGGATTCCGGCGGACGGAGGGAGCTAGCCGGCCGGGTTGGCAGTGGGTCAGGGCCGCCAGGAGCACAGGGGGAAAGGCAGGCTGGCCTGTCACTGACACTGACACTGGTTCTGCAGAGCAGTATGCTCTGGCTCTCGCGGCCAAAGCAGCATGCGACTGTGGAGTTAGCAGCGGTTCTCAACCTTCCTAATGTCACGACCCCTTAATACAGTTCCTCATGTTGCGGTGACCCCCCAACCATAAAATTATTTTCGTTGCTACTCTATAACTGTAATTTTGCTACTGTTATGAGTCGTAATGTAAGTATCTTTTTGTTTTCCGATGGTTTTAGGCGACCCCTGTGCAAGGGTCGTTCGACCCCCAAAGGGATCGCAACCCACAGGTTGAGAACCGCTGAGTTAGAGGCTCATGGGATTAACAGAGACCTTGACGAAGCAGACCCAGCAGGTTAAGTTTTCCCAAACCTACACACCAAGGACATGGATGTGGAGCCAGCTCAGTATCCTCAGGCCTCCTGGGAGCCGCCTTCTTCGCCAGACTCTGTCTCCACCACCCACCCTGCGGGCTGCTCTGGGCACTCCGGTTATAACATGGGAGGGACTGCCCCGGGCTGATGGTCAGATCCCGGCGGAGAAGCCGGAGTACAGATACATCCACGATGGGACAAAGACGACAGCTGAATGCCAGTCACATTAGCAACCTGCCTGTCACCTGTGAAAGTCACTGATGAGGAGAAATGACCTGAGAAGCTAATATTTGCCAATAGTTATGTGAAGTGGAGGAGAGCGACAGGGAATGCTAACGTCACTGAGCCCGGTGCTAATTTGGCGTTAATCACTGCTCAGCCGCAGCAGCGGCAGAAGAGGAAACCCACGCTCAGCACTTGCCGCTGCCCAGGGAGGACAGACCCCCCGGCGGGCAGCCCCGACTGCATGCCGACCCGAGGAACCAAGGCTGCGTCTGCGGCCCCTCAGGGGCATGTGGGACGGAGGCTGCACGTGCCCGTCCACCGCGGATTTCAGCCACCCCGATGGAAAGATGAAGTCCTAGCTGGTTCCTGCGGAACAATGAGTTTCTCTATGTCACATTGCAGCACACACACAAATACACTATTTCAATGTCCCCTTGCCCTACAGGATCCACAGGACAAGTGGAGCGCCCAGCTCGATTCGTGGGGGTAAATGTCCGTTTGTTCTCACCCTGTCTCCTGTGTTCTTTCTAGAGATGCTTGAACTACATATGGGCACTTGTCAGGGAAGTGGGTGCAAGAGATGCAGAGGAAAACGTCCCAGTTCCTACAAAAGCGGTTTGTAGCGCACACACGTCACTGGGAAGGTGACCTTGGCTTATGGAAGCCACCATGGCAAAATGCAAGCAAGGTCTGACTGCAAAGCCTGTCGCTTCCCCTGGAAGCTGCCGTAACCACAGGTGAGCACAATTGCACAAGTGCCCAGAACCCACATCTCCTGATAGCGGGGACAGTGCTCACTGCAGTACACAATGCTGGTTCACTTCTTTTAAAGAAAAAATTGTTTTTAAATTCAGTCAAATTTGTATGTGTACACGGATTAAAAAGAGCAGTACAGGGAGGGTTAAGCTGAAACACTCCCTCCTCCAATGTGAACGTTTGGCTTGTCAGTTGGCAACTTCACTTCAATCAGGTGGGCACCCCCCATTATTCTGAAAAAAGCGCCCGGAGCGCAGGGGTCACCCTCTGGGGCGCCGGCAGAGGGGCATCCTCACCTGTCTGCCTGCCTACCTGGCTACATTTCAGCTGCTCAGTCCTCTGCACACAGCAGTTGGGCAGGAAGCCGGCCGGCCGTTCCAGACCCACACTATTAACTCCCCCCGATTTTTGCTCTGTGTCATCACGATCTCCTCCAAGACCAAATCTGCTATCGGTGACCCCAAGCTGAGACCTCCTCTCCCGTGGTCATTGTTCCCGCACCCGGGAGCTGCTGCTTCTCCGCTTTGCCGATGGCTCGTCTCTCTTTCCTTTGTGGGCCTAACAGTCTTCCTTTACTGCTTTTTAGTGGGCTTTTACTGCTTTTTTAGTGAGAGGAGATAACGATGTGCATTTTTAACCTGCTATGCTGACTTTTCTACCACATTTCCCCCCCACATTCCATTTTTAGAAGAAAGATGCATAGAAGAATAAAACCACCTCTTTATTCCTGCTGTTCCCATAGTATCTGAGACAATGAGCACTCAACAAGTACTCAATGACTGGTTAATTTTTCATAAATATTCTGTAATAATGATCCACTGCTACCTGCTCCAGGAATATGACCCTCTCCTTCAATGCTCTGTGTTAAAACACACCGTACGCCAATGGATGAAGAATTATTTTCAAAGAGAATGAAAATCAAATGGGAAGAGGGGAGGGAACTGTATTTACCAAGCTTCCACACAGCACTAAACATTACAAATGTCACCCTATTTAATCCAAGAACAAGCTAACAAGATAGCGTTTGTCCCTGCTATAGATGAGAAAATTGAGGCTAAAAGTCACATAACTTCAAACGGTGGAGAAAGGGTTTAAATAAAGGAATGTCTTCATCCGAAGTTCATCTTCCTTTTACATAATGCTGTTTTCTCTTAATAAAAACTTTGCTTGTGCTCGGCTAACCACAAATTAAATTAACTAGAACGTTCCTTCCCCCAAGCATGTCCTTAATTGAGACGTTACTGTAGCTTTTTCAACTGCACATTTCCCAGGCTGGGTTTCGGAGGCTGGAGGTGAAGATGCGGAATCAGACGAGGATTTCTGCAGAGGTCAGCCACAAACCGGCCCTAGGTAGCTTCCGAAGCAGAAAGGCAAACGCTTTCGTGAGGCCGCCTTGCAGCTGTAAAAATAAAGAATCACAGCAGAGGGAAGGGGCCCTAGTCCTAGGCAAATTCCCCCACACGAACCACTTAACCACTGAAGAGGCTGAGTGGGGGAAGTTGTCCAGGTTGTATTTAATCAAAAGTACATTTTAAGAGTGTCAAATCTCTCAAACAGAAAAAAAAAGGTGCAAAGTTCACGTGTGCTGCAAAGCTGTGGAATTCCTGCTCGTGGAGGAGGATAACTGCAGCCAGCCAGGCCCAGTGCAGTCGGTGGGAGAGCAGCATGAGGATAAACTGGGTGTTCAGAACACAGGAGTGGGGGGAGCTGGTGCCCCGAGACAGAGGGACGTGAGGAAGGAATAGCAGCCTCGCAGGGATTGGGGTACAAAGGGCTCCATGTGGAGGAATGGCTTGATGTGTCGAAGGGGCCGCGTGGAATTTTCCAGAACCTCTGAGAAAGCAAATCCCACGTTTTGGTTTTCTCTCTTCGAACCACCGTGTTGAGTGTCCTGAGTCTTAGCTGTGTGCTCCCGGCAGACATGCCTCAGAGATCTTTGCAACACCAGCTCAAACAAGGCTGAAGTTGTGGGCCCGTCACCACACAGCATCAGGCTTCCCTGTGCCGTACCGGAAAATAATGAGGCCAAACGCTGCCCTCAGCCAAAAGATGCTGAGTCACACTTGCCCCGAAACACAAAACTCATACATAACTTCCATGTAAACATGTTCAAAGTGAGGCAACTGTATATGCTTTTCTTACATACACATGGATATATCCATGAGAGGTGACTGTTTCCAGAAAACGGCAGTGTGACAACTGTCACACATCCTAAGGCCAACAAGGATCTCCAGCTTTTCAGTTCCTACTGTGTCTATATCTGTGGGGTTTCGGGGTTTTATTTATGTAAAACCAGGATCCCATCAAGAAGCTAGAAGCTGGTGGAATCTATAGGACCAGCTGAAACCTCAAAATCTCCCTGCTCCAAGAAACAACTGGTCTAACATTAGTGGGAACAAAAGAGAAAATAAGGTTGAAAGCAAACCAAGGAGTAAAAGACCCTATGGAAGCTTCTGGTGCTGAGACGAGGCTCCGTGGCTTTTAAACAGCCTTTCAACATCTACTCACAGCATTATTTGTGTTGACCAGACGAGACAAGGTACAAAAAAGCTTTAAAACTCGGGCAATGGGCTATGCAGACAGAACAAGAAGTGACCCCTCTCGAGCCAGCCCCGCAGTGACCCTGGCTCCTTTGGCCCTGGGCTGTGACCTCACGGCAGTGTTGTGACTGGAGGGCAGGTCTGTCCGCCTTT